TAGTCGATACTACGAGTCCGTAGTTGAAACTTAGGTCCCAACCCTTTTTCCCTAAACCGCTGGATAAGCAGTTTGGGCTCAGCACTCACAACTGGGACAAACTGGGCGAGGTCTGTCTGATACAGGCGACGAAGGCACACATTGGCCAATAAGGTTTAGGATACACCCTCAACCCTATTACCTCTAAACCCTAAACCCTAGGACAACGCCTCGTAGCTGCGAGTCCCTTCTGCACAGCGGCTGGGATGGCCGTCCCAGGAGAAGAGCCAGGAAAGCCTGCTTAGGATTTCGGCTCGGGGTGTACCCATAGGCCCCTAAGTAGTTCCTTTTTGTGGTTCATATTTAGAATCCGATAAGGTAATCCCAAAAAGGAACTACTCAGGGGCCTATGGGTAATAAGGCCTTGACCTTTCAAGGTTTGGAAGAGTGTTGGGTTTTCGAGCTGCCCTGTTTTTACACTGGCTTGATTGGACCTCGCCCTAAACCCTAAACCGTCCTTGTGACAAGGATCGTACGTTCAACATAGACCTTTGGGCTCTAAGACTTTTGATGGTGGAGGGCTCTGCAGCATCGATACCACAAGCTCCTTCTCCGAGGCAACTTCTTAGGATTGCATGCCTCCGGGTTTCGGGTGTGTTGGATTTCGGGCTTCTTGCTTGCCTGACTTGACGTGTGCAACGTTGCGCAGCTCTTGTCAGAGGAAATCCAGAGGAGAGGAACTGAAACACTAATCCCGAACCGATTACACCAAACCTCGTAGTCTAACCCGAAAACAACGAGACTATTTCATGGAGTACAGGCACAATTTCACGGAGCAAAGGCTGCGGGCGCAAGGGTTTCAGGATTCGGGGAATTACGGCATAGGATGTTGGACTACGGGTCTTTGGGCTTAATGTAGGGGCCTGAATAGCTAGACTAGGGTTTTGAGGAATGTTAAATTATAAAAGAACCTCCCCCCAAAAAATAGTATAGGTAATCATTAATTAAGCCCCTGTTCTTATGCTGACACTAAGTTTTCGGCCCCCTTTAGCTCGTGGGTTGACAGCTAAGCCCACTTTGGTCTGCTAGGGTGCTGCGTCGGGGCTTTCGGGTGCTAGGCTTCGGATCGACTATAGGGTTTAGGGTTTTAGGGTTTAGGGTATAGGGCTTAAGGGTCCACAGTTGTGTAGCACTGAAGGCTTTAAGATAGGGTTGCTTTCAGGCTGCGATCTAGTATTCCGGCCCTGGGTTGGGGGGTTGGGGGGTCAGTCCAGATTCTTCCAGCCTCCTGCATGAGGCTCCATGACTGCAAAGAAAGCATCTACTTGGGGGTCTACCGTCTACCCCGTCTACCAAGCTCCTAAACCCCAAAGTAGCCAAAAGCGCACTCTTTTGTTTTATGGACTTGCTCCGGCTCTGCACTCGTCCACTGAGGGAAAGCGACCGCGTCGAGCAGGAGGGTGAAACAAATGCTCCGCATACAGGGTTTAGGGTAGCAAAGATGGGGTTTAGGCTTTCATAATTACAGTTCACGCAGGCTTAGGGTTTAATGATTTGGGATGATTTACTCGTGTCTACATATGGGCATGTGCATACAGATGGCAGCAAGCGCGAAGCAAGTGTAGGAATGATCGCAGAAAACACATGGGATAAGCACAAGCCCAACACATTGGCGGATGGCTAGGATGAGTAGGATGCACGTTCTTGCTCTCATTTACGTTGTGGGCTCTGTTTGTCTCGTACCTGTGTGACAGCTAGCTACAACCTTGTGCTCTTACATGACAATGTCGGTGAGATCAGGTGAGACTGTAACACCTACGACTAGGCAAGCAGCCTTCGCTTCATGAGGCAAGGTGGAGCGCAAGTCAGCATGAAGCTTGACAGTCAAAGCTATGATTTCTCCACCCTACAGTTTGTCATACACTGCGGTGCTCCAAAACAGGGCCAACTTGCCTTGGTGCACAAAAAACATCTATGTCCTATCTACAAATCGTCTCGCATCACTCGGCTGCTATATCTGGCGAAACCTTCCGTCAAATAAAGCCCCCAGACTCACGTAGGAGCCTACAGAGTTATACTTAGCTTTGTGGAACCCTTGGACAAGCACTCCTACTGTTCACCCGACCCTGTTACCCGAAACCTTATCTACCCTGCAAGTGCCAAATGTTCAAACAGTGGCAAGCTGTTGTTGCTAAAGCTGGTTGCTGGTTCTTCAAGTCATACATAAACTTCTAAACATGTAGAACCAGGGTATCTTCATCAGCCTCCTACATTGACATTAGACCCGTTAACCCTCAATCCTACATCCTTCATTCTTTTTGATCCAGGTCCGTGAGCCCGACCCCAATTCCTCTGCACTACCTTGCTGGGCACTACTGAGGGACCCGGGGTCTTCCAGAAGATCTCACATTCACTCTACGACTCCAAGTATGTAGGCCGAGGTTGCCTACGGTGGGGTGAAAATCGGTCTCAAGAAAACCTATGGGCTATTCGGAGCCCCAAGAAAAGGCAAAGAAACCTAAACCCTCTAAATCCCCAACCCTAAACTCCTAAATTCCGACAACCCCTTAAGAACTCTGACCCGCACCCAAAAAAACCTGCACACATATGTATATAAGTATGTATGTAAAACACATTTACGAATTAGTATAACATGAAAATGTACATGAATGTAAATAAATATAAACATAGATGTCTACCTGTACACATAAATGACCCAAAAGCATGCAGATGTATATACGTAAATAGATATAGCTATAGATATACAGATACTAGACATAGAAATGAAACTTGAAAAAATAATTCAATAAATACAAATATATATATATAAGAATAAAATTATAAATATATAAATGAAAAATAAATGAATAAGTAAATTTAAAAAATAAGTAATTATAAATAAATAAATAAAAAAAATATATATATATATAGATGCATTTATCTAAGTAACCAAAAACCCAAGGATCAGTCCCGAGCCTGGCCGCAGATGGCCGAGACAAAGGCGCCGGCGGCCGCCAGGGCGGCGTAGGCTTGGGGCTTGTTCGGGTCCTGGCCGGACATCAGTATAGGTTTAGGGTTTAGGGTTTAGGGGTTTAGGGGTTTAGGGTTTAGGGTTTAGGGACATAACCCCAGGGCTCCAAGTATGCAAATAGTACCGACTTTGGGGTCTGAAGTCTGCAAATAGTACCTACTTTGGGCTATTTGGAGCCCCAGGGTAAGGACCGGTAGTTAGGTTCTAAGTTAGAGCGTTCCTGTAAAGGTCTCGAAAGTAGCCTCTGCAAGGGCAAAGGGTGTAGGTATGTGTTAGGGTGCTTTACGGGGATTACGCTCTCACAACACGGACAAGCCAGGCGAGGTCTGTCGTGTAAAACAATGTAATAATATAGTCTGATAGATTATAGTATTAAAGCATATTACATTACATGGCGCCTCCAGGGATCCTGGAAGACAGGTCCAGAACTGGGACCCGTCTGATTTCACGAGGGCACTGCATTGCAGCTGAGTTCAAACTTTAGCCTGACAGCCCAATCCTCCGGATTTTTTTGACACCTTGATCCAACTGCTCGGTAAGTAGTCGGAGAGCCGTTATTGGGCAGGCAAGGACAGGATATTCCCATCACCCTAATCCTCGGGTTTAGGGTTTATGTAGGGTTCCGTGCTCAAAAACCTAAGCCGCGAAACCTCAAGGGCAAGGACAACCTTCTGTCAAGAAATTTTGAGCTGCGGTCATGGTTGCAGATTGCTGGTCACGTAGCTACGAAGTCTGTTTCGAGACCGTGCCAGAAAATCGCTTCCCAGAGAGCCCAATACCCCTTAATTAAGGCATATACCTTCAATCATAATATTAAGGCCGCTATAATTTAAGGTATCTTCCTTAATTAAGTTTTATTGGGCTCTCTGGGTTCGACCACCAGCACTGGAGCTCGGGGTTCAGCAGAGCTTTGGGGTTTATCGGCTTTGCAAAGATCCGGATCTCGTCTTGTGTGCATGTGTGTTTTTGTGTGTGCAGAACAATGGCAGGGTGGGAGTACCCAAGCAAAATAATTAAGAGGATAAGGGATGCTGTTTTACCAAAGCACGTGCTGAAATACGTCGACTCGGTTCTTTCTGTTTCTGCTGTTCCTTTTCTGAGTTGTCCATGCTTTCACTCTCAACGTCGCCTTGCACCCAGATTCCCAAGACAGGCGCAGCACTTTTGATACCACTGTAGGTTGACTAAGTCTGCCCTGCTTGGGTTGAGGGTTTAGGGTTTTGGGTTTCAGGGTTTAGGGTTTAGGTTTAGGGTTTAGGGTTTAGGGGTTCAGGGTTTAGGGTTTTGGAGCCAAGGTCGGCTGTGGAAGATGAGGGCTGAGGGTTCCTCCCTACTGCAAAGCCCATACGCCTGAAACCCTCGAGGCTAGAGCTAATGTAGGGGCCTTAATAATTAGGATAGGGTTTTGGGGTATATTATAGTTATAACCAGGACTGCCCAAAATAGTATAGGTTATTATTTAAGCCCCTTGAACAAAGCTTTCTTGTAGTATCGATGCCCACCTGCTAATTATACGCTTCAGGATGATGCATGCACAACATAAGCCTGACATCAAGACCTGTTTCAACGAACCTGGGAAGACAATGCACTTCAAATGTCGCCAGAGGGGTGAAGGCTTTCATTCTGCGCAGAAGCCCTTACCGATTTGCATGGCCAAGCCGTGTCCTTCGTTAAAGCTATGGTTCACATAAGCTTGGAGCCTAAGAGGACACTTCTTTCGGGTTCCGGAAACCCTAAACCCCGCACCTCAAGCCCCTGCATCCATGGGCGTAGGTTTTAGGATATTGGGTGCGCAAGGTTGGGAGCACATTCCAACGTACGTGAACGGGAACTACATGGGAATGCCCTTATGCACTGCTGAATTTCTCACTGATCAACAATAGCACTTCGGATTTGCATGAGGGCCGCAAGGGTTTGGAAGGGTAATTATACATAGGGCTTTGCTAAAGGCTCAGAGAGACGCTTTTTTGAGGCGTTTTGGGTCAGGCTCTCAAGTTGTTTGCAGCTGTGCCTGTGCATAGCACGGCTGACACGACTCATGGGACACATTGTATTCCCTCAGCTTCTCAAAGAAGAGCTCCTGGTGGGCAACAGGGGCCACAGAATGTTGCTAAACTGGCCTTCGCCGCAGATACCTAATATCCCCAGAACCCTTGCAAACAAATATAGCACCTCTACACTACTGTATACAAACCTCGCGTAACTTTTTCTTTAGAAGAAACCCAAGAAACCTCCACAACCTTAGGGGCTGAGTACCCTAGCCCAAAAAAGGTAAACCTTTCGAACTATAGTAGGAGTATACAAGCCCCAAAAGGTTAAAGGCTACCTACTCAGCCTCTAAGCAACTGTATAAACTCTCACGTAACCCTTGGCGCTCTTCCGAGCCAGACAGGACTTTCAGTCACCTCTTGCGGACGTACGACGTAGACAGTTAGCCTTGCTCGAATCCTTCAGAAAGCCTGAGCAACACGGTACAGGATTTTGCTCTTTTATATATGGCCCCTTTCCTTCTCTCTACAGTCGGAATACCTGGTACCTAGAGCCTTAAATGGGACTGTGAGGCTCAAAAACACACACTGTCAATCTCCTCAAACCCAGCAACCAACACCCCAGTCGAAATCCTCACGTATCCAGAAACACTCGCACCGCTCCGACGACTGCCTCCCAACCACGGCTTAGGGTTACAGGTTAGCACTGATCCAAAGATTCGTTCCAAAGGTTTGCAAAGAGATGTGCGAGCCAACTTTAGTCCTTGGCTCCATTGTAGAGGAGTCGGTCCACTGGGTCATCATACCCTCCAAGCTCAGACGTATCGTACTCGTGGTAAGTTGTCTCTCCAGGAAACGTCGGCCTGTTGTCCATGAACTCCGAGTGGAGACAACTACCTCCAAACATACGGTGGAAGAGGCACATGGAGAGGTCCCATTCCTCGTGGCTGTTCGGGGCGTGTCACGGTGCTTTCGTGCCTAGTTACGCAAGCTACCAGCTCTTACTGTTTGCACTGTTGTGGGAAAAAAGACCGTTCAAATCAATACAGCTCCTCCACAATCCCGGCAAACGCGAAGCCTTCCCGAATCCTGACCAGCGCCAGTCCCGCATCTGCTTCGGTCATATTCTTGCAGAATTTTGGCAGCGGATCCATGACCCCATCTCCCATGATCTGACATGTCAGAGCATGCGCCTCTGAATGTACATAGTGGAGGAAGTCCTTATGCCCAGCTCCATGCTTAAACACGGGATCATTCCAGGCAGAGTAGATACGCTGAATCGGATCTCGGAACATGGTCACGATGTGGCCTGCGTTTTTCCCAGAATCAGGAGGACAACTTACATCTATGTGCGCAGAATTGCGCAAACACGAATTGGTAAATCCCGGTATATAGATGTCGTTGCGTCTTAATTATGTTTTGTGTGCCTCTGTGGGTACTAAACGTACTGGAGTAAGATACCACAGACACATAGCAATCGAATCCATCTATCCATCCCTCCAACCATACATCTATCCATTATCTATCTATCAGAATTATCTATCCATCTCCCGCTCTCTCTCTCTAGACACATACACATGATTTCAACAAAGAACTCAGTGGTACATATCTATCACTCGCCCCCTCGATCTATAGATCGATCGATCTATCCGTCCATCTTTATGCATCTGCATATATGTATATGTATACGCAAACATATACGTCATGTATATAATGTGTACATAGTGGAATGGGGTAGACTAGAATAGATCGGAATACAATAGGACTGACTGACTTAAAACGAAAACCATTTAAGACAGTGTCTTATGACATGAAACAGTATATATAAGACGAGATAATAATGAAACGCATGTAGTACGACAGAGTAGTACGACAAAGCACGTACATTAATGTGTACACAAGTGTTATGTATGTATATATATATATATCCATATATATATATGTATATAGACATACACACACATACTCAAGAATATTTAGGCACATGGGTGCTTATGTACGTGTCTCTATTCCCTCAATACTGCTAGATAAGATACTGTCGCTATGCAACATATATATATATACATACATGTATATGTACACATGGATGCATGCATGCATGCATGGATGGATGCACTTATGTGCATGTGCATGTGTGCGTGTGTGTGTGTGTGTACTGGCACGCTGCATGCTTTTTCAGCGAGGCACTACAGGCGATCTGGATACGGCTTCTAACTGTCCGAAACACATTAAGGGTCCGAGTCGTGGCTTTCGGGGCTTAAGGGCTGGGAGGGAGTATTGTTTCAGGTTTGCAAGGGTCTTGACATGAAGACTTGAAGGCCTTTGAGGAAATCGTACTCGATACCGATGCCCCGGTGAGGTCTGTACAGCCCATTGATTGTTGTAGTGCACACGAACTTCGTGCCATCGCAGAGGTACTGGCAAGCTTTGTCAAAATTCGCTTCGAAGTGATGCCCAAGTACCTCGGAGTTCACTTGGAAAGAGTCGTCTACTCCCGGGCAAACACCGGGAAGATGGATCAACGCATTCAACAAAGAAGTCCCGCACTTCGGTATGTGTATCCACTTCAGCGGCTGCGCAGCCAGCAGTGTCGGGGTCCCCGGAGTCTCTGCGGCTCTTCGAGTGCCTTTGCCGAAGTTGCTCAGGTTGCCACCCGAGTTCAAACGGCTTCGATTCCCAGTCCCAGAGATGCCAGATCTCTGGCCGAGCTCATCCACAGTCACCAGCTGCTTCGCAGTTCTTTTAAACCTCGGATCGGAACTTTCGGGTCGCAAGCTTGGCGCATCGGGCTGCGCTAGGACCCAAGACAGAAACCAAAAAAGTCTGCAAGGGCTTCAGAGTCCGGGAGCATTGCAGCAGCCAAGGTCAAGAAGCTGAAGAATATGAGAGTCCTGCCCTTCATCGTCATGGTATTTCGACTGGTCCAGGCACATGCAAGAAACTGGGGGGTGTTCAGTCTCGAAAAAAAGGACTTTCCAGGCTCACAAGCCAGAAAGCTGAGGCAGCAAAGGCTAAACATGGAGTCCGCTGGGGTTTAGGGGTTTCCCTGTAGCCGAAAAGACCTACCTTTTTTGGGCTCCTTGCCATGTTTTCTATATGTGGTTCCTTAAAGAGGTACGTCTTGTTGGGCCAGAGGTAGGGTTTAGGAACCTAGAAGCCCCGGCGCCCGAAATTCTCGAAGCCCAAACCCCCAGAGCGTGAACCACAGCGACTTATAGGCACAAAACCGAAGCCCAACGAGTCGAACCTCCAAGACCCACAAGACCTCTGCCCGAATCCCTCCAGGGGCGCAATCGGCCATGCCAGCTAATGCCAGCAAACCAAATCCTCAAACACTGATGCCCAAACTCCGGATGCATCAAACACTCAGCTTCATTGCAGGGCCTGCAGCCTACAACTCGCGAAGCCTACACTCCACGTCCCATATGGCCTGAAACCGACGAGGCAGAAAGAACGAAGTTGAAAAGCGCAGAAAGACGTGACTAAACTCATCGAAAATCGAGGACGAAACCTTGGTGCTCCAGCCCAAACTCCACAACCCCTCCTTGGCGAAACCAGGCCCCAATGGGGCGGGAAGCTCCAGCTCGTGCACTGCCTTTGAGTGTCTCGTTGTGGAGCTGCTGGTTTAACGGTTTCGCGTTTATAGGGTTTAGGCGGTTTAGGGTTTGGTCTAGGGTTTTGCACTCGTGTTGCCTTCAAATTGTCAAAGAACCGAATCCGAAATCGCCACATCGCAAGAATTGACTGCTCCACTACACCATAGACGGCCACCATCATCGTCTGCAGCACATCAGCATCGCAACAGCAACAGCAGCAGCAGCAGCAGCAGCAGCAGCAGCAGCGGATGCCACAATGCAGCGGCGGGAGCACTGTCACGACCGTCATGATCGACATCATTGCCAGCATGATCATCTACGACACCTGGATAAGTCATAACCATCGCCATAAGCAACAGCATCCGATAACAAGCTTTTTTGTTCTTGGCGACCCTCGACGCGATAGTTTTGACATCTGTGCCTGGAGTGCAAGATGATCAAAGATTACAGAACACTGGAATCGTGAAGAGCAGTGAAACGACTTTCCTGGAATATGCTAACATAAGCCATCTGTAATTATTGCACAATGCTGACAACGATCACCTTCTCATGATGATGAAGCACTATGCTTGCACAGAATTTCTTGGGCATGCGGAAGCTGCCGCATTCCCAGTTCCTCGTGGGCAGGGCTCTCTCGCATCATGAACCATGTTCATTCCAACCATTCTGATAGCAGCATTCATCATTGCACCTCCCGCAGAGATTGCCAACAACACCCTCTACTGATGAAGACCTGAGACTACTACCACACGCACTGAAGTCACTAAAGCCGAATATGAAAAGGCCATCATATGTTGACTAGGGATTCGGGGCATATGATGTACGAGTAGTAGTACTAACTGTAGTATTCAGCCGCAACAAAAAGATGCTGTTCCAATACTTCCAGGCCCTAGATTACACCCAAAAGCTGAACCGCCCCGGCCTCGGCGCCCACCTCTTTCCGGAGACGGGTGGCGAAGCCCCGGCAGTCAGGCGCTAATAGGTCGTCAGCTGCATATGCCTTGTGTTTGGACAACATGGAAAGCTTGCAGCCGGGATATCGGAATCATGTCTGAAGCAGAGTCGAGGACTGTGAAGTCAACAAAGGCTTTGGTTCAGGGTTCGCTCTGCCCCTACGAGCCCGCAACCCTTAACTCGTAACTCCAACCCCACACCTCAAATCCCAAACCCTAAGCCCAAAAACTTACAAACTCTAGAGGCCTTAGAGCTTAGCCCCGGCCCCCTCCATCCCACTGAAACTGCTCCTCTTTAACTCAACCTGACAACCCCAGAAACCTAGAACCCTAACACTTGCAACCCTTCAGCTTAAGAAGCCCTAAACCCAGGAATTTTCCAAACCGCCCTAGAACCCCACCCTAAACCCAAAACCCTAAACCCTAAGCTCAAAACCCAAAACCCTAAGCCCAAAACCCCCAACAAACTTCACCAGGTGGCCAGGAAAGTGCGAGGCATCGGCCGTAGCGACTCAGCAAGGAGAGGCGAGGCTTCCCGGGCCTCGACTTCAGCCATTTTTCATTATCCGGCTATAATTACTATTACTCTTATTATTATTATTTGATGATGATGACTATTTTTTTTATCATAGTTATAGTAAAAAATCTGATATTGTTGTTATTATGACTACTGCCATGAATGTATACTTGCCAGGTTGTCATTATTATTACTATTTTTAAGCCCCCGTAATCTATCCCACCCGGCCAGCCAAGTCGCACTGCAGGGGTTCATCCGCGCTGAAGAACAATTAAACAGAGGGCAACGTCCCAGCCATTTGTTTTAGCGCTTATAGAGCAGAGGAAGCCTCAAAGAGGGAGGTGGAGCTTTGAAAGGTTAATGAAGTTAATATAGGGGCCTAAATAACTACCAAGAATCATTTCGTGGGCTACTTCTACCCATAGGCCCCCTAAGCAGTTCCTTGTTGTCGTTTATATTTAGAATCCTATAAGGCATCCCACAAAGGGAACTACTTAGGGGCCCATGGGTAATTCGTATTTACCGGGCGGGTCGAAGGCAAAGGGACTGGGAGGTCCAGCGTGCTTTGATGACATCACCCCTGCCCTTGAGGGCCTCAGCTTGGGGATCCCTATCATAATCCCTCAGGGTCCATGTACCCAAACAGTATAAACATTGGCCTTAATGTAGTCCCTAGTCCCTATATAGGTACTTTAGGGCCAATGTATTTACTATTTGGGTACATGGACCCTTAGGGAATATATCATAGCCCCATAGGGTTTCAGCACTCACTCTCGGACGAACCTAGGCCCCCATAGGGTTTAGGGTTTAGGGTGAAGGAGCCACTGTTCAGGGAGTTTTTTTGTACATCATGCGGCCTACATTGTACTGCTTTCAATTTTAACTCAAACGGAAATTTCATTAGATGTAGAGAAGGGTTGTCTCCCTCCCTGCCCAGACGTAGCGCAAGCATGCTGCCCAAGATGTAGGTATCGTCTGTGGGGTTCTTGGGATTTCGGCAAGTCGGACCCCGACTCCTGAGGTTTTCGGATTATTTCGGCGGGCTTGTACCATGGAGCGCATGTTGAGAGAGAGAGAGACGCGGGGGTAGGCTGCTTGGATCCAGTGGCCTCATGCTTAAGATCTGAGAGCGGCGGGCGCCTCGAAACAAGAGCGGGTTATGGCAGTCAAGCTGCCTTCATCCAGTCTAAGACTTTGGGCTCGTCGTCGTCCTCCTCCTCTTCCTCCTGCGCATGCCGATCAGAGCAGCCACGAACATGAAACAGGGTGACCTTCTCAACGGGAGGTCATTCAGCACAAGCCTTCCGAGAATCAGCAAATGTCTAATGTTGCAGATTGCCAGGGCACCTGTGTGAAACTGCCAGCTACGAGCACATAACGGCAGCAACAACACGATATTCTTGATACTTGATAGAGCTAGTATTGATCTTGAGTTCGCAAAGGTTGAATTCTCAAAATCTAGTGCTGCATACATACTATTTGGGAATTGTAGCAGATTGATTGAACATGACTGAACTCTCCACCCAAAATGCAATAATATCTCAGCAATCAAGGATACGTGGAGCAACGATTGCTGCAGGTACTGAGGGGTGGAAATGCTCATTCATGCATATGAATGCACTTAAGCACACATGCGTTGGAAAGAACCCTAAGCCCTGAACTAAACCCTAAACCCTACCACACACTACTGCATCCTTCTCCAAGGAGCTCACGTTTCGACCATGACAAAACAGTACATGCTGATTGCAGCACACTCATAGACCCAGAACGTTTGCGTCCTCAACAACCGTCAAACCATGAATTGAATCTAAAACTCTAAAGACTCTAAAAATCCTTAAAAAGAAAACGGGTCCCGCAGCATTTTCTGGGCTCGATACCTGCCTATAAGCTCTTGAAGCAACTCAGCATCCAACCCTAAACCCCAAACCCTTAGTAGTAGCAGCATTGGGAGAGTCTCCTCGTCTTCTGGGACGTCGATCTTCGGCCCGTAGACCTGTCAAGATTTAAAAAAAAAAGGGTTCGGGGTTTCTACAATGACAGGGGTTTAGGGTTTTTAGGGTTTAGGCTTGAAGGTTCCAGGGTTTAGGGTCTTAGGGTTCAAGGTTTGGGGTTTTAGATTAGAACACAAACGCCACCTATCTCCAGAAGCCGTGGGCCCCAAATCTGCAAACTCCTGAAACCCCGATGAACCCCCAAAAACCCTCAAACCCCGAACATCCCCACCCCCCCGAATTAGAACCCCTTATGCTTTCAACCCCTGGACCGCTGATTATGCTCAGCCGTTTCGCCCCTAGCAATTTCGACCCCTGCACCTCGCTAGCGAAAGCAAACTCCTCCTGCATCGCCAGATGCTGATCATTGGTCTCCTGTCTCTAGAGGTCAGAGTTTTACGGTTTCAGGATTTACGGTCTCACTTCGTCCTAGGCTAGCTTTTTTTTTCGGGCCTCCAGCCCTAAGAAACCTCCACCCGGAAATGCTCCTGCCATGACCACGCCAAGTGCAGTGATCGCTGCCAATGACAACGAGAGATAACGAGACACATTTGTCACCAGCACCAGCACCAGCAGCACCAGCACCAGCACCAGCACCAGCACCAGCACCAGCACCGGCACCGGCACCGGCACCAGCACCAGCACCACCACCCACAACAATTGTGGGCACAGGGGAACAGCAGCTGCAGTAGCAGAACCCATGGTTTTGTTGGTCAGAGCGGTGTTGATCGGTAAGGTACGGTGGTAGACTTAGTAGATGTAAAGGAGGCGGCACAAGTAATCGTTGTGGTTGTGGTCGCCGTCCCGTTCGTGGTCGTTGCAGTGACAGTGGCCATGGCAGTCGGAAGCGTCGGCTCTTCACCATGGTAGCTCTGGTAATATCGGGGCCATAATAATAAGCATAATTAGGGTTTTTGGGCCCACTATACTACAATTATAGCTAGATGATAATGCATCTCTGGCGTATTCTTGGTGTTCGCATTCGCAGTGGCTGCCGCAGCAGTCGCCGTAAGAGCAGTTGTGCAGCAGCAGCAGCAGCAGCAAAGCAGTCTGTGGTAGCTGTTAGTGCTTGTCCACTCAGGTCAGGACTCCGTTGCTGAGAAAGTTTATCGTTTTCTTCTCGGTCATTGGTCAATAGCATGGGGAAGCTCGGATGGGTTTTTTGTTGCTCGGGGTTCGGCAGGGCTTGCGAAAGTCTGGGTTTGTCCCTTGCAGAATATGTTCCCTAATCTAATCGAACTTCTCGAATCAGGCAGGGCTGGCTCGTAATTCGTCAGATGCAACAACTTGCTTATGGCTTGGGGTTCGTCTTAGAAGCTACAGCCCCAGCACAAATGGGCCCTGTCGGCTCCTCAAAGCTAAGCATAGCTTGGCTCGTCGGCCTTTCGCACCAGGGCACTGTGAAAAAAGCCCTGAACCCCAGCAGATGCGTTCCTTGCTGAGTGCCGGCTTAAGATGTATTTGGCAAGCTTGCTTCTGACTCTCTCTCATGCAGTCAACGGAAACCAAGCAAGTTCAACGTCCACCACCGGCCTCACGTCTAGCCATGGGTAGAAGAGAACCTGCCGAGAGGTCGTCTAGCTTGAGCAGAAAGCAAAATCCCAACTCCAAGTCCTCTGTGGTTCTTAGCAGAAGAGTAAGACTGCAACTCTGCATTGCTCAGAAGGTGCACCGCTCCCGCCCCACCTGCAAAGCTATTCTGGGTCCGTCCACCGCGGCCCGCAGGGCACACGCCTCAGGCACAACAGGATTCGAAGTTCGGACTCATCTCTGCCATGAAACCTGCACTGCATCTCTTTCCGCCCGGTAGCCGCAGCTAGTCCTCCTCCAGCTGCGTCGCCCGCAACTGCCAAAAGGGGAGGCGAGTAGCCGAGGCCACCTCATGATTGCGGCTTCTCATGACACACCCACTAACCACAACCATATACCTAAACCCTAAACCCTAAACCCTAAATCCCTAATCCCTAAACCCTAAGCCGCCATCAAAGGCCCTCTCCTTCGGCGACCCAGCAGACAGCTGCGAAGGAGTCCTGGAAGGCTCCCGGAAACCGAACTTCTGGAGGCTGCCGGTACGCCACCGAAACCACCTCGGCCCATCGCGGATGTATCTGCAACCGGGACACCGTTAAGACTTGGCCAGATTCTGCAGGACCGTCTTAACTCTTTCGGTCTCCATGCCCTAAGCCCGATGGCCAAAACTTACAGACCAAACCCATCCAAACCCCTACACCCTGAGACCTTGAACCCCTGCACCCGAAACTTGCGAATTCCTAGGCGATAATCTCCCCAATCGTTCCCGTGGAAGCGGTGAACCGAGGCCTCCCCTGAAATGCCCGTAAGCTTGCCGTTGTCTGTTTTCGTGGCAGAATCAACCCCCAAACTCTGTAAGAATCTCGGGCGATGGGGTTTGCTCAAAATATCGAGTTGAGTTGCGCTATCCAAGACACTGGTAGATGAGGTCAGACATGAAAGTTTCACAAACAAACTTATGGCTAAGTGGGATTATGGATGTTGCAGTCGATGGTGCTTGAGACTAGTTTTCTCTACGCATTCTGCATCAATGCGTTTGCGTGTGGAGTGTCCGTTTGCGCAGTCGTGGCTGTGTGTAGGAGACGGGTAGATGCACCTGAAGAACAGAATATCTAGCCTCCACTGCACACGGAAAAACGCTGAAGCACTAATTAGTCCAAGCTGCCGAAGCCCGGGACAGAACCGCCAGAGATTCGCACATCCAAGCGTGTGTATCCAGATCCCCAGCTACGTAGCTCTCTCCGTGGAAGAACACCTCAGGGTTTGGTCAGGGCTTTGGATTAGTAGAGGGTTGCTCGGTCTAGGGCAGGGTGTAGATGTTTTAGAGGGGCACTGCACTAATGGCTGAGTGGTTCTTATACGGTATGCGGCTCAAGAAGACCCGGCTTGACCTTAGGTCTTAGGGAACATCTGTGTCCAAACGACATTTAGGGTTCTAGGGTTTTAGAATTTACCGGATTTAAAGGGTTTATCAGCACCTTCGACTGCCTTCCCAAAAGCCGTCGTTATTCACGCAGAGCAACCGATGCGTCTTGCACCAAACCCAGAAAGCCCGAAGACCCTCTCTTATGCCCCTTTTTCCACAGGCTTGAACTGAAATGCCCTAAGCCCTATAAACCCTAAACCCTCAATGGTCGGACAGGGCACGATCACTGGTGGCTCGCTGAGCCCCTGGGGCATGAAACGGCGCAGGGCCAGCGCAACTTCCTCTGTGCCCTCCTCCCCGTCCTCCCCTCCCTCGCCGGTCCTTCGGAACTGCAGTCGTTGGGTCTTTGGGGCAGAAATAAGCTGCTTTGGTTTAGGGGTTGAGGGTGCTCGAGGTTTTGGATGCTTATGTTGCCAGACCTTGCAAAAATCCCGAGTTGACGAATATACCAAAAGCCATGTTCGGGATCCAACTATAAAGAAAGGTAGATTCCTTAAGCACGGGGATGTTGGAAGGTCTTGCTTAGCCAAATGCACAGCGCAGCACCGGATTGTGCTGGGCTCTGCTGGCAAGCTTGGCGGGGAGGGGGCGTAACAATGCCGAATCAGATACTGTAATATACTAGAAGCTACCATAATAAGCGATAATAAACCACAGAAGATACTTTGATATAATAGCATATATAACAGAAAACAATGGACACTGGACCTTAGGATCCTTCATGACTGTAGACTCACGGCTCTCAGAAAGATGCCAGCGACTATCCGGCTACGAATAGCATAGGGGCCTAAATACATGAGTTTAGAGTTTAGGGTCCAGGGTTAAGGTTTTGGTTTAGGGTGTAGGATTTAAGGTGAAAAAATACCAATACTATTTTGGGGCAACTTCCGGAGCCAGCGGCTGCATCCCAATTTCTTCGGGCTCAATACAGAACTCTGACCATAATTGAAGCACGCAGCCACCCTGGCCTGTATACACCAGAAAACCCCGGCCGAGAAAGGCTTCTGGCTCGATGTGTCTTGGAAACATAATGAGACAAGACCTGACAGCTGCTTCGGGAAACATAACGACACAAAATGAGCTACTGGTAGCAGGGTCAAAACTTACCGTAGTGAGTCAGAATGGGACTATGGCTGAGAGCCCCTGGATGTTGTGGACAAGCTTCGCCGGCAGGATCATCTGCCTCATCGATGGTGAGGACAAGATACAAACATAAATGCGTAAGTCTAGGTACCGTCCAAGGGGACTGCAAATAATGAGTATGCATGTTCGTTGACCCTGAAATGAAAATCTTACAGCGGTAGATATGTATCTCGCGAACCTGGTGATGTAAAAACACAGGACAGGTACGCATGTACGCGGTGAATATGCCTTCCACTGCTTGACTTCGAATCGCGACCGTGAGATGCCCGCACAGTATGTCTTCAACTGTATGTACACATGTTGGAGCGCAGGACTTCGGATGCAGTCCGACTCGTAGCTCCTGCATGCTAATATACGGACCTTAATAATTAGAATAGGGTATTGGAATATATTATAAGTTATAGGGAAAGATGTTGGCAGTTCTCCAAGCCCTACATTAGTCTTGCTTAAGCGCTTGGCGGCTCAAGGCTGAATGTTGTTTAGGTTTGTCGGGCTATCCGGGTGCGGACTTCGGGGGCCACTGGGCTCAAGTGTTTTAGGGTTGTGGGCCCTCTGCTATTGACGGTTCAGGGTGCCTGCAATGATGTGATCGATTCGCAGAAGGAGGACCATCCCAAGCCCCGATCCCTACACTTTGGCCGTCTTGCTTCCTCTTGCTTCCGAAGACCCTACTTGCACACTCTCGGTGACTTGACTGCAGCACAGATGCAGGTCGTCCACTTTGACGCGCTGCCTCTCAAGGAATTTAAAAGGACGTTTTCAAGCACCATGTCATGGGGATATCCAACTTGGTACAAGGTTAACTGCTGGTTTCACCTAAACAAGCACCAGCTAAAATTCAGGCACTGCAAGTGGAACTTTGCCTTTCCCCTCAACGCCCAGCACCGAAAGGGCCTAGAGACGGGCGAGCTCGGCGTGATGTTGCTCAAAGCAGCCTCCCGGAAATCCTGCCACAAGGCCAAGACTAACATCTCTCGACACGGGCATCGATGCCCTGCTTGCTGCAAAGGGTTTCTGCTCCATGACATCTAGGTTTGCTTTGTGAAGCAAACCACGCAGATGCGAGTCGATGATGGCAATACCAGTTCGAACAGATGTGGAGAAACCCCACGGAGTCCTTGCGTACGTTCGCGACCTGACCACAAGCCAAGACAGTCTCGATTCAAAGCAGAAAGTTAAGGGCCTTGGGCTCAGCGTTGCAACGCGGTATGAGCGCACACAAGTGAACAAGCACAGCAGTGGCACACGTGTCCAATCTTCTATATATTCAGCTATCCCGGAGCAGCATCTGCGAGGCGTCAGCGAAAGCTCCACGGTAAACATTGGCATTGGAAATGTCGTCCCATTTCTGGCACATTCGTATTCCATGCTAGAGTACCTTTGAAATTCAATTGTGTGAAGCCCGCAAATCCACTCGCGAAATCAATGACTAATCCCTGGATGTTCCGTTGGGCCGCAGATGCCCAGAACAAAAAGCAGAACCTCAGGACCAGAATCCAAGCCTAGACCTAGCGGCGTTGAACATTAACGTACAATAGCCTGAGTGACCCCCTAACGAAAAACGAATCGTGCTGTTACCCTCACGGTGTCCCAAAACCCCATGACCCTGATATCCTCATAACCCTCAAACGAGCACTGAAACTCCACGTTATCATCACCAGGCTGCCCTCTCTGCCAGGGGCATCCGGCTCAGCTGCAGTCGCCTCAGCGCCTGTCGCGCGATTGAGCCGCCCGCCTCCGGATTGCATTTTCCGGGTTGCTACGACGGTTTAGGGTTTAGGGTTTTAGGGTTTACGGTGTTTTTAGCACTCGCACTCGACGAGGTCAGGCGAGGTTTAGAGCAACGACGAAAACCACCAAGACTCATCGAGTCTAGACTACATCCGTCGCAATTGGGGACTCCCTGTTTCAGAGTCGCACCACAGTGCACCAAAATCCGACATTTTACTGTCCAGGTTTATTTGTTTCAAGCCCTAACAGCGGTCACAGCGTCAGCTTGTCATGTGGTAGACAACATGTAGACAACATGCAACTCGCAGTCTTGCTCACTCAGCTGTTCACGCATGTCCGCATGCTTCCATCTTCTATTCCGGTTGTGGCAATACAGGTACAGAGACAGGTTGAATCGAGGGCGACACGCTGTTCAGTCAGAGGAGCTGGCTTCAGACACTGTTACATGTACTCAAGCTCGCACCAGTCTACCCCACATTGTGGCTGGGGCGCCAATATAGTTCCTACATATGGTAGGTTCTTTATGCCAATGAGGTCTAAACGGTAGACTGACTGATCACCCCTCATCCTACGAAACCCCTCACAGAACCCCTGTAAACCCACACAGACCCCATAGCACCCCAGAAATTCCTTAGGAATCCTAGAGGAGCCGCAACTGTTGCAAGCACCTTTTCCCTTCCCCAACCCTAAACCCAGCTGAAACCCAGGAAAAAATGCTTCAGGATTCAGATATAAAGAAACGTGAGGGTGTACGCTCTGGCCTCAAGCTGACGAAGGATGCGGTCAGTTTTCCGCTTGGCCTTCGGAGGCTTTCAACCGAACAAGATTTGAAGTTTTTTTGGGGTGAGGGCTCCAGACCCCAAGTGATTCTCGGCACTACAGATGAGTTTTTTGGCCGTTTTGGCTTGGATTTAGGCTTGGGTTTTCGGGTTTGAAGCCTTGGGGATCGGCAAGACTCACAGCTTGTGAGTATTCCGGGCGATGCGGATCTCCTCTCAAAGATCTTTCATGGTCGTGTTCGGCAGCAGGTCGGTATGCAGGACGCACGGTAAGCGTGAGGCGGCTTGTCGTTTCGGAGTTCAGAGCCCTTGGGGTGAGGGCAAGGCGGTTAGACCCTTCTGACTGAATTTCTGGAAACCTACCGAGGCCGGGCCGGGGCCGGGCCTGTGGAAAGTTTTAATTTGCAGAACAAGCATTTAGACATAACACGAAAAGAAAACATGTATGTATGTATATATATATATGTATGTATATGTGTATATCTATATATATGTGTGTGTGTGTATAAATATAATATATATATATTATATTATATATATATATGCACACCCGAATCACAATACTGGCAGCGCAACAAAGGCAGCATTGATACGAACATACACAAATTCACGACCAATGACATAAGCAACAACACTGCCAATGCTCATCATCATTATCATTTTGTTGAAGCAGGGCCCTACAGCTACATCATAGTCATAACTGAGTCATAACCACCTCACAAAAAATGAAGGAACCGTACACTCCCGCCTTCTGGCTGGCCTTATTCGATGCTTGGACGGCTTCTAGTTCGGCCTGCGCTTCCTTCATTCCTTGGCTCTTTCCGAAAATCTAACTCGAACACAGAAGGTGGGGGGGCTAATCTACGGCTGAGACTATTACTGAGTAATAAGTATAACAATGCTTACAATATGGATATAGCAATAATATTCGCAACAAAAGTGAATGTTGAAGCTTTAGTTCGGCTCTAAAACTGAAGAAGAGTAGGGATCGGTTCGGATGACAGTTTAGGCCTTAGCACTTGCACTTTCAGGAGTCGAGGCTGGACAACTAGAAGCAAACATTTTAGATCCACTTTCTAAAAGGGCTTAGGGTTTAGGGTTTACTAAAAGAAAAACACGGCTTCGGGCTTCGGGCTTGGAAAGGCAGGAACTGTGAAATGAAGATCCTTAATCAAAAACCTTGGCATTTTATGTCTACTGCAGTGTCCAAAACGATGGGCTTCGAGTTTTGCATGGGTTGGACGACTGCTCAGCCGGGCCACGACTACAACGGAAGCAGCGCATGAGCTTCACTCCGCTGGGCACCTAACCTTAAACACCTCACCCCCTTCCACCTGAACAGTGCCTACCCTCGACCACCAAAAACCTCCAGGTTCCGCTTTGCCAAGGCTCGTTTCTCAACCTCTTCCTTCTCATCGAGAAGAGCCGTGATCTCCTAGCAAAAATCAGGGTTTGCCTGTAGCCGAAAAAAACCTACCTTTTTAGGTTTCTTTATTCTATATATATATATATAGATAGAGAGAGAGAGAGAGAGAGAGAGAGAGATAGATAGATAGATAGATAGATAGAGTCCCTTAAAAAGGTAGGTCTTTTGGGCCACAGGTAGGGTTTAGGGTTTTGGGCCTAGGGGGGCTCATCTCGAAGGGGGCGGAGGGGCTGGGATGTACGCGAGGGGAGGGTGTGGTGCTCTGCAGCCTGTCAGCGTTTAGGCTTCAGAGTTTAGGGTTTATGGTTTTAGGTTTAGATTTTAGGGTTTACGGCTTTTAGGTTTAGGGTTTAGGGTTTTAGGTTTAGGGTTTAGGGCTTAGGGTTTTTAGGTTTCGGGTTTACGGTTTTAGGTTCTCTAGGGATTTTTGGGGAAGGTCGAGCTCGGGCGGATCGGTTGGAAGGTGAAAGCCGGCGGCTAACGCAAACCATGCAAGACCGCATCTGGGGCTTTCCGACATTAGGGGACCCTAATATAGTACCCTAAATAGTAGGATCCTTATTCTGAGGACCCCAAAATTAAGGTACCCCCCTGTTTTCGGAAACTCCCATCTAGAACCACCACCGGGCACATGGTATGCCACATGGCTAGAGGCAGAAACCTTCCGATGAGATGAAGCTGCTTCAAACAAGTTGCTGTCATTCGGATGTTGTGATAACCCTCTGTGATAGAGGGCTTGGGCGAGGAAGCTACTGTATAGCGGACTCGAGCCGCGCATTGACCGCTTGCAATGCGCATGGAATTGGGGTTTAGGGTTTCTTAAGGTTCTGAATCACAGCATTTCAGGCTGAGTCCTTGCGTTTAGGAAGTTTAGGCCTTCGAGTTGGGTTTGAGGGGGCCAAGCTTGGGAAGCCGCCTTCTCCACAACATCGCGCTTGGCTTTGATGTCTTCGAAAGTGTTGGTCATCTCATCGTAGTAGCCTTGTTTGCTAGGCACTCTAGAAGCCCCTTAGTACAAGGACTCCACTTTTTCCTTGTGTTTCGTTAGCAGTTAAGATTAGAAGAGAACTGAAAGAGAAGCAACAGACTAAACACTATACTAGGCAACCTTAGTTGACGAAATTACTGGCAGTTATGCTAATAGCGTGGCCCCGGATTCTCTACCTCGTTTGTACTGGCAAGCTGGAGTGAAAACAGTCTACTCACAAGACCCTTGTACACCGCTGAGGTCGTGCTCGTGTTCTTTATCGGGTATCGTCTGCCCGTCTGGGGTCGTTGTTCTAGAGTGGCATTTTGCTTGACAGCATGATATCAATCCGAAACCCACAACCCAAATCCCTATACACCCCTAAACCCTAAAGCCTTAAAGCCTGAAAAGCTTTAAACCCTAAAACCCCCAAAGCCATGAACCCAACTTCTCAACTGCAGGCTCACCTGGGCTTTTATGTCGCGCAGGCTAGAGCTCCAAGCTTGCCACCTATAGGGGGCCCCCATCCCTGGCATCCTTTAAGGGTTCCTTTAACGGGTTCTATAAGGGATCGATTAGAAGGGTTCTATAATTTAAGGGCCCGAGTAATTTAGACTAGGGGGTTTGGGGCGTCTAAAAATTTTATACGGAAATCAGAACAAGGAATATCTAAACAGTATTGGTACCTTTCTGGCCCCCTATGTTACACTTCTTGCAGTTGTGTGCTTTGCTGGGCTTGAAGGTAAACTTCCGCTCTCCAAGAGCACAACTTGCTTGCTACCCGCTTTTGGTTAGGGTTTGAGCTGCCCTTGCGGTGGAATAGAGAGTGCTAAACCGTACTGCCGTACAAATATCAAGGCCTTCTTCCCTGAGCAGTCCTGACATGACAATACAAAACAAACCGTATTAGATGAGATATTCTTATGGTCTGCGACTCAGGGAACACCGACTTAACAAACAACATCTGCCTACTGGGATTCCGTTTGAAGCTCCGGGCCATCCAAAGCACCCAGCGTCAATTCATGAATCCTACCGGGTTTAGGCTTTAGAATCCTACCTAGAGGGTCTAAGGTTGTGGGAGACAAGGTAAAAACCCAAAAACCTGCACACCATAAGAAATGACCTCGTGGAGGTTTCGTCAAGCGGCCTTTCCGTGCCAGCACGTCCATAACCTGAGAGGCTTTCTGGGATCCTGCTGAGCTTTGGGCCATAAACCGCAGAATGTGCAGAACCTCTGAAGGTTTTGTTATGCCCTCTGAAGGTTTGGAGTTTGGGGTTCTGGGTTTGGGTTCGGGGTTTAGGGTCCCATGCTCTAGCGGTTTAGCGTTGAGGGTTTAGGGAGCAGCTCATAATCACGTGCGAAGTATGTTTATCGTGGTAGCACTGTGGTGAAAGCACACCTGGATGAAAACTGTGTTGACACGACAAGTATTGCGACAGTTACTACAGATACTTTTGCTATAGGATATACAAGAGGATCTCGTTGTAACTGAACACAGACATCCTTACAGCTGCTAAGTTGTAAGACGTTGGCAAGAATCATGTGGGCAGTTGGCGCTGCGAGAAAAAGCACAGGAGGAAAAGCACAGTGGCAAAGCCACGGCTATACTAAAGAGAAGGCAGGCAACTCGAGTAAGAACGGCTGCAAGGACACGATTGCAACTAAAATCTGGCTCGAAAATCCGATGCCTTCAGGTCTGAGGAAGTAAAGAAGATCTCGCAAAAAGCCAAGCAACCTCCCTATGCCTCGGCTGCTTCGGCATGGCTCCAGAGGCTGTATGTCCAACTTTGGGACGTTTCGTGCGACCCGGCTGAGAGGTGGGGCACGGGCTGCAGCCGCTGCGGGATGCAACATCATGCAACCTTGTTGGGTTTGGGATTGATATAGGATCTCAGGATCTACTCCCCACTTCAGGCCGCATGCGCTCAACCCCAAACCCCCGACATACAATAACCCCCAGACCTAAAATCTGAGGAGGAGCTCTTGCTCGCTCTTATGTTTGATACTAGTGGGGCTGCTTCAAGGCTGAGAGGTTGGGGTCTCGACAGATTCTATATGCCGGAACGGAACATACTGGCCCGTGCACAAGCACCGGATCCAGAGTTTGAAGGCGACTAAGGTGAAAAGCTTCGCACCTGCACCTGCCGTTGAGGCAAAAAGCAATATTGCACTCCCGTAGCCCAGCTAGTACTTTGGATAGCCACCTCGACTCCAAGCTGCTCAAGCTGCATGGAGAAAGCCTTAACTTGGCCGTGGTTAGCCTTTGCCCTACAGAAAGCAAAGCTCGACTTTCTGCGCTGGCATGTTCGATTCCAGGCATAGACAGTCAAGCCATTACCCTGTTTGGGATACGTACTAGAGCATCATACATACATACATACATACATACATACAAATAAATAAATATATACAGATACATGCGTATCCACATACATCCATACATTCATGCATACGCACAGACATACATTACCACGTGCTATATTTTGAAAACATCTCACTGGCACGAGGTAGCCCCGGTTCCCACAACTATCATACAACCGGCGGGGGGGACTTCGCCTCACAGTTCCCTTGCTGAGGGATAGGATCTGCACCTGACCGTGAAGTTCGAGCGATGGGCAAGCTTATTCTTGGGGGGGGGGGGAGGGGTTTGCAAGAGGCATGCTATTACTTCTCGGCGGACTTCGCGCCAGAGCCAGCACTTATTAGTTAGCCACCTGTCTCCACACAGTCTGTATACAGTTGGGTGCCGGGTATTACTGCTCACTTATAATCCTTATACAGTCTACACTCCCACCAGATCCCACCAGAGCGAAGCTAGCGCAAGCAGACATACGCCCATATCCATACTCATCCACGATTTTAGGATCTTGCCCCTGGTGCCTCCCCAAAAGTACATGCCCTCACTTCTGAACCCCTCAAGAAAAAGTGATCACACGCCCCACAACAGCGCTAAAGGCTTGCCAAAGCACAATGAGCCCATGCGGAGCTGTTTCCGTCATGGCAGCACTCTGCACGTAAAGGCTTCGGATGCAGGCTTTAGGGGCCTCAACCCCTCAAGTAAGAGCTGTGTAGTCCTACTGCTGCTCTTGATGCATCCACGAAAGCAGCTAGGAGGACAGCAGGCCTACCATACCCACGTTCTCTCTTGAAGGAAGGAAAGGCTGCGGTTGTACCAGTGTTCGGGAGTACAGAGTGGACGCTGGCTTTTGCGGTGGTGATGAGTGCCCATGCAATTCAAGGGTTGTCTGCATGGTTGTAACTGGGCCTCTGCTGCTGCCGACTCATGTATGATGTGTTGCGCCTTTGTGCTTCAAAAAGAGGCGGATGCTTCAATGAGGCAACGATACTGTAGCGGCTGCAGACGGAAAAAACACTCGCGGCAACGGAAGAGTCGAAACGGTCAATCGTTGAACGCAATACTACTGCCATAGTAGCATTAGCAGTCCCAGTAGCAGCAGTAGTAG